CACAGCTGATTTAAATGGCTAAATGACCTCCTCAATATGTCTTGAAGTTCTCCAGAGGCCTGGTAATGAACTAATCACTTGATTCAGGTGTGTTGACCCAGGGTGAGATCTAAAACCTGCAGGACACCGGCCCTCGAGGCCTGGAGTTCCCTACCCCTGGTCTATAGGTATGAGAGAGCAGAGTGGGCCAGTTTTTTCCAAGTTTCTCTCCTTTATATATTAGATGTTGCTTTAGTGATTGTTGTAAATGTTATCCCTGATGCACAATAGCGAGTATATTGCAGTACCCATGAGAGCACTCTTAAATGCTTTGGCTTCAGGGTTGATGGTGCCCTTCACCAGACGTGAAGGGCACCATCAAGCAGAAGAAAGAGTCCTATCGGGCTTGGTTAGCTTGTAAGACTTTGGAGGCAGCTGGCAGGCTCCTGCAGTCCAAGTGGAACACAGCTCAGGCAGTCACTGAAAGAACTTGGGTGTAGGAAGACTTTGTTATGGGAAAAGAAAAAGACTTTGATCTGTCTCAAAGCAATTTTGGCAAACAGTCAGGTGACTTAGGAGAGGAAAACGGCGCTCTATTTACATGGTACATGGCGTGAGGTGCTACTGACCTCAAATGAGGATATAGTCGAGCCTCCTTAATCCAACTGAAATGTCTTCTGTAGAAAAAGCAGAGTCTGGGTGGTCACTAGACAACTTGTTGGTGGTAGGGTCCCTGGGGTGAGGTAGCCATGGTCTTTAAGGCCCTAGATGTTGTAGGGCTGTTTTGGTTGACATGCCTCTGCAGTGTCACCTGGAAACATGGGGCAGTGCCTCTGGACTGACAGACTGGGATGTTGGGTCCCATCTTTAAGCAGTGAGACTGGAGACAGTGCTATCAGGTGCAGCCTCAATGGGATGGTCTACATCAGGCTAAAGGAAAGAAGAGTCGGTCTGTTAGTCGAATTAGGATTCAGGCAGAAAAACACAGTTTTCGTCCTGGTCACAGAATGCTGGACCAGCTCTTTATCCTCTTGAGGATATTGAAATGTGTGTGGAAACAAGGTGACCGGTCTACATGTATTTTATGGACTTGGAGAAGACATTTGAGCATGTCCCTCTGAGCATTCTGACTGAGATGCTTCAGGAGTATGGAGTGTCTGGCCTGTTGCTACGAACCTTTCAGTCCTTGCACAGCTATTGAACTTGGTTCACACTGTGAGTCAGACTCATTCCTGGTGGGTAGTAGACTCCACCTTCTTTTCAAAATTTTTATGGACAGAATTTCTAGACAAAGCCAAGTGAAATGAAGCAGCATCAGTAAGAATTGGCACCTCCAAGTTTGAGACTATGGTTCAACCAGAACAGAGTTAAGTGCCCACTCTGGATAAAGGACAAGTTGCTGCCTCAACTGGTATCTTAGAGTCTTGTTGGGCATTTGACAGTGATGACCCCTGGGGACCTCCTGAGTGAGGTGTGCCAGGTATATCCTACTGGGATGAGTAAAAATCACCAGTATTGGTTTGGCTTAGAAGAAAAGGTTTGATTTTGGAGGAAGTGTGGACATCCCTGGTGATTGGGGATAGGGAGTAAGGGCTAAGGGCTTCTATTAGAGTAGAGTAACATTGACGCAGAGCTCCTGCCAAGAGCAGTTGAGGTCTCCCAGTTGAGGCATTGACAAAACAATGTTCACCTGTCCCTTTAGCCTTTCCCAGTTCAAAGTTATGCCTTCAAAATGAGGAACGAGCCAGCTAGTTTCCAGAGGCTGATGGAGATAACATTGGGTAATCTCAGAGGTTGGACCTGCTTTTTGTACTTGGATGATTTTTTGATCTATTCTCCAACCTGAGAACAGCATTTTTTCATCTTTGGGCTGTATTAGACAAATTAAGGCAGACAAAACTCACTGGTAAGATGAAAAAGCCAGCTATTAGGAATGGCAGGCTGGTATCACAGGTTTGGTATCTCTCAGATTGCTGAGCCACTGAAGTGAAAAGGACCCAAAGTCCATTGGACTCCAGAATGTCAGCATTCCTTTGATGTCTGATATCTCAGGCCATCCCAACCCTGACCTAACTTTTGTGGTGTATACAGATCCCAGTGATGTTGGACTTGGAGTTGTGTTTGTGCAAACAAAGTAGATTATGCAGAGAAATTCTGGCCTATGGCCAGCGTTTATTCCACTACAGAAAATGAGTGCTAACTGTAGTGTGGGCATTCAAGAAATGGAGATACCTGATCACTCCTCCTTGGTTTGGGTGTTCAAAACCTAAAAGGGATCTGCACAATCACTTGCTGGATCCTGTATCTGCAGGAGTTCACCTTTACAGGTGAGTACAGGAAAATATAACACTGCTAAATGCTTTATCCAGAGCCCCTAGTGACCCTGCCAGCAATGGAGCCCAGGTTGCCAGCATATTATCTGTTAAAGGGGAACCTCGCGAGCACATTTCATTATCAGATGAGGACATATGGAGAGCCAACCAGAATGATGCAAAAATACAAAAGATTTACCATGCTAAAATAGATGATGGGAATCTCACTGTGACTGAGGCTACCACGTTCACCATCCTGGAAGACAAGGCCTACAGAGTCTTACAGCTTCCACACTTACAGCTTCAGGTTTGCATACCAGATTGTCTCTGGGAAACCCTTCTACAGTTGTTAGTTGATGACCCTACATTTGGCCACTTTGGCAGATACAAAGCCTGATAGAGGATGCAAACATTGGTATACTGGCCAGGAATAGGTTTGGATTTGAAAAAGTCTGTGCGAAAGTCTCAGGTCAGCCAGAAATAGAAGCCAGAAAACCGTAAGGTGGTGGGAAAACTGCTACAAAGCCTAGTGACAAGGCCCTGGGAGATGTTTGAAGAATTCCTTTGGATGACTGACTAAACGTGTCTCCCAGTGAAAACGCTACATCCAGATAAACTGAATCAACTTTTTGGGATTTTGATTTCCTTCTTTTGGGTTTTCTTCGTGGATTAAAAACCCAAAGTGGGGTATTTTACATTCTATGATGTAGACTTGAATTGACAGAGGATTACCAAAATATAGAGAAGATTTTTTTTCTTTGTGAATGAACTGAGTTAACTGGAACTGGGCTC